CTCATCCACAGAGTAGGAATCGTAGTAGAGACTGAAGTCATCCCCCACCACTGTCTCCCACTCCTCCAGGGACCCAGGGTCTGCTTTCTGCAGGGTCACTTCTCCTGAGCCCCGGGCAGAACCCAACTCCTCTGACTAGAAAAAGAAGAGAAAAATTGAGGCTGCTGGCACCATTCCACCAGCCTCCATTACCTTCAAGGACCCAGGGTGTGGCCCCAGCACCCAGACACCCTTGAAACAAGGACCCCCACCCCCAGGTGGAAAGGCCTTGCTCCCTCCCTCTCCTGGCTCACCAGGCCACCTCCTGAGTTCAGCTTCCTCCTTTTGACCACATCTGGAAGGAGAGAGAGAAAGAGGTGAGGCCTGTGCCCTATACCCTCAAGACAGGTGTCAGGCCACAGGTGGGGAGGAGGTGAAACTGACCTGAGGCCACCTTCCCCATCGAGTGCACGTCGTCACTCATTCGGAAATGCTGCACTTCAGGGGGCCGCTTCTCAGGGACTGGGGGCTGGGAGTGACAGGGAGCACTTTGGATCAGGGAGCACCTACAGCTCTGCTGATTAGCCTGGAGCCCCAGGTGGGGGTGGTTGGTGAGTCACACACTCCAGAATATCATCTGGAGCTCCAGGAACCAGAACACAGCAAGAACAAGATGTCTAGCACATTCCACACCTAATACTCACGTATCCTTCCAACCGCCCAGAAGCAGACCCTTTAGTCCCATTTTACAGATGAAAAAACAAACTCAGCAAGGCTAAAAATCTTTACCGAGGTGGCCAAACCACATCTAGGACCAAACCCACATCCATGAAGTCGATTCTGACTCATATCGACTCTCACTGGGTTTCTGAGGTCATAAATCTTTACAGAAGTAGATTGCCCTGTCTTCCTTCTGAGGAGTAGCTGGTGGGTTTCAACTACCAACCTTCTGGTTAGCAGTTGAATGCCTTAGATACTGTGTCACCAGAGCTCCTTTATGTCTGTTGTTGTGCTGTTGAGTTGAACCCGACTCATAGCGACCCCTCCTCGGGCTGCCAAGGCAGTATCACTACGGAAGTAGATTGCCCAACCTTCCTTCCGAGGAGTGGCTGGTGGGTTTGAACCGCCAACCTTCTGGTTAGCAGTCAATTGCCTTAGGCACTACGCTACCAGAGCTCCTCCTTTATGTCTAGGGCAGTCCACATAAAAAAACCCTTAAAACCTTGCCATAAGGCTTTTGAGATTCTGGGCCCTTTGTGATTTCTGTGGCCCTCACCTTCTTCCCCACAGGAATTTGAATTCCTTAAAGCAGAACAGGGGCAGGTTTCAAAGAAGTGAGGGAAACATTCCCCTGGAGGCTTACTTTGAGGTAGAAAAGAAAAGTGGTTCAAAATTCTCTTACATAGTCATTATCATAAGAGTAATTAAAGACGTTAACTATCTAATTAACTCTTTAACATTTGTCTTTTCAAGTCCTCTTCTCCAAGAAAGTAAACTCCAAGAAGACAGGAACAGTGTCTGTCAGCTCACAGATTAAGCCCCAATCCATTATTCAGCAAGCAATAGGTTCTTGGTAAATACCTAAATGTGTGCATGGATTAGAAGAGGCCTAAGGCTAAATTACAAAAGAAGCCCACAAGGGGTTTATTGCACATTATTTTAGTTCTCCCCATCCTGCCACGACTCTTACCTGTCCATTTCCAGGTTTGGACATAGTTTTCCTGGCTCGGTGAACCTTGGGCTGCCCCTCTGGACTGGTGGTGGCTGGAGGGGGTTCAGGACCTGCTGCTGCTGTCCCCTGGGCCCCTGGCATACTCAGCAGCCTCATGGCCAAACTCTGGACAGAGGGGGGTGACTTCCCAGCCCCTGTCATTGACATCTTGGCCCGACTGGGACAGGTACCCCCTTTGCTAGGAGAAGAAGGGAATGACTTTGTGGCATGACCTAGAAAACATATGGGCAAGCAGGCAGAAGGTAAGATAAATAGGAAAGAAGGGGCCGAGGACTCCCCCCGCCTCACCCCCAGAACCTTTAGCCTCTCACCTAGCAGGATGCGACCCCCCTGGAGATCCCCATCTCCCTCGAGGTTCTCCGACTCATCCCCAATGAGCGGTGTGGCTCCTATGGGGGTGTCAGCCCCCTCATCACCGACGGTGACAGTGACAGAAGCTGGGGATGAGGGGCCCCCTGGCTCCAGGGGATCGGGATTGGCCTTGGGCAGGGTCTCCTCACTACGAGAGGTGTCTCCCAAAGAGCCATGAACTGAAGGAAAAGAGAAAAAGTTCAGGGCTAAGGACCCAAAAGATCCTGTGTTAGAGGAGGTGAAGGTCCAACTCAGCTGTTTCTGCCCATACTCACCTCTCTCCGTGGCTCCTCTGGGCTCCTTTTCCAGCAGCAGCGCCCCCATCTCAGCGGGGGCTTCCCCCTGGGAGGGGAGGCAAGGAGCAGGAGGGCTGGTCAGCCCGGTAGGGAGTTGGGGGGCCCAGGACGCCTGGGCCCTAGGAAGAGAGAGCAGGCTTCGGGGCCTACCTCTTCCCCTATGAGTACCCCCCCTTCCACGTCCTCGGCTGCCCGGAGGGGCCGCACGACCCCTCCCCCGGGCCCGCATCAGCCCCCTCCCTCTCGGTAGACCCCGCATCTCTGGGGCCGAGAGTAGAGGAGGGGGGGGGGGCGGGGCCTCTGCGCCCCGGCCCCGCCCCCTCCTCCCGGCTGCACGCGCCGCTCCCCCTTTGTCCCCCAGGCCGCGGGGACCCCTGGCCCCAACCCCTCCAATGCCCGCTGACCCCCAGCCCGGCGGACGGCCCCTCGTGCCTCTCGCGCGTGCCACTGGGGCCGCGGCGCCCGCCGCCCACTCGGGGGCAGCCGGCGGCTGCATGCGCGCCTCCGTGCCCACTCCCCCCACCTCCCACCCCCTGGTCCCTTCATCCGCCCCCGGTGGTGGCCCCCCGGATTGCTGCAAGTCCCGCCCGGGCCCCCCGGCCCCG